CCCTAACCCATTTGACACTCAAGTCTTAGGGTAATTCTGTGAAGAGGGACAATCTTCAGGGAAGTTTACAGATTTAAATATTTTGGCATCATCTGCATGTTTTATTTGCTCTGCTGTGGACAAAGTCGACACGGTGGAGCTGTTCATATTACTGATTGTTCGTCGTCGTAGTCAACTTTACAATTTCAATTTCTTCTTCAAACCCGCAAGTCGGAATGTTTTCAAATTTGATATGCAAGTACCTTGGATGGTTCTTTCTCAGATTTGTCCATTTCATGTCAAAATCTCAAATTGTCTATTTTTGGTGAATATTTTTGTCATTTTCGGTCAAAATTGATATTTTTGATATCTTTAATTCTTTAATTTTGATGAATATTTTTGTCATTTTTAGTAAAAAGTGATATTTTCGACTTCTTGTTAAAAACCGCAACTCGATTGTTTAGATATTACATGTTACTCGGTAGTACTACATGTGGACCTCTCTCAGATTTGTTCATTTCGTGATGATATCTTTCATTCTCTAATTTTGATGAATATTTTTGTCATTTTTGGTAAAAAGTGATATTTTACATATGTTAGTACTACATGTGGACCTCTCTCAGATTTGTTCATTTCATGATGATATCTTTAATTCTTGTTTTTTCAACTGCTGTTTTTAAAAGGAAAATTGCGTCTTTCGTTCTACTGTCTTTCCTAAAGCCAAACTACATGTCAGTAAATAATTTATTTTCTTCCAAGTTTGTGGTCAATCTTTGATTAATTATGCCAGTAAATAGTTTTAATCTTATCCACTTTGTAGTATAGCGTTCATAGATTTAAAAGCATATATAAATTAGTTTACTGTATTTGCATTTGAATATTCCTTTTTGTATACCATGGTTTAATTTTATTAACTTTGTAGTATAGCGTTCATAGATTTAAAAGCATATATAAATTAGTTTACTGTATTTGTATTTGAATATTCCTTTTTGTATACCATGGTTTAATCTATCCACTTTGTAGTATAGCGTTCATAGATTTAAAAGCATATATAAATTAGTTTACTGTATTTGCATTTGAATATTCCTTTTTGTATACCATGGTTTAATTTTATTCACTTTGTAGTATAGTGTTCATAGATTTAAAAGCATATATAAATTAGTTTACTGTATTTGTATTTGAATATTCCTTTTTGTATACCATGGTTTAAGTTTATTAACTTTGTAGTATAGTGCTCATAGATTTAAAAGCACGATATTTATTTTTAGATCATGGTAAACCAACCAAACCAGAGGGTCCCCTGAATGTGATTCCCATCAATACACAATCCTGTAAACTTAAATGGAACCCACCATGTGATGGTGACAGTACAATAAACAGATATATCATTGAGCAACGTGCTGGTACAAAGAGAGAATGGACAACAGTCAGCGATCAGATTCCACCTGATGTTACCTCATATGATCTTACAAGTCTTAAGCTATCCACTGAATACTACTTCAGAGTTTGTGCAGAGAATGCAGTAGGTAGGAGTGAATACCTTGAATCCATGGGCATAACAATCACATGTAAGTAAATATATTTCAACATAATTTCTTATAAAAGACTAGCGAACTCATTCTTTGTCAACTGGACAGGTTTATTTAGTTTAACCTTTTCACCACCAGACTCTCACCCAAATGTGTTTCTTATGTTCTTTCAATATTTCTGGAAATGAACCCCAACAGACAAAATTTGAGCGAATTTTCAGTTTATACTCGAAAAGGTTTGGATATTTTCGGAACAAAAGTGAAGACTATAAGCGGGACTATTTTGTGATGAAGAGAGGGAACTTGTGGTGAGAAGGGTTTGATGATATTTTTGAATAAAGCATTCTGTCTCTTAAATTGTCTTATTCAGAACCATAATTCAGTGTTCATGTTTCAAAAGTATAGAGGGACAAGTTCACACTAACTAGACAGTCAGTGTTTACACAATTACTATATGCGACAACCAAAATAATTACCCTTGTAGAAAATTACTAAATCTGCGATTCCAAGAGCGCACTGTGGGATTTTCTGGGTGAAATTTCTTGGCACAATGTATTGTCTGTAATAAAGTCCATTGAAATTTTCCTCGATAATATCTGGCAAGCTGCAGATGTAATATATATTACAAGCAGACAACACACCAAGGTGTAGTACAGGGTGTCTGCATGTGTGTGTGTGTGTGTGTGTGTGTGTGTGTGTGTGTGTGTGTGTATGTACACTGTACTGTATGTGTGTATGTGTGTCCATCTGTACCACTGAGATCTCAAGAACCATACATTGGTTTTTGATGAAACTTAGTGCATAGGTGCTCTTTTAGTAGAAATCCATGCATTAATTACCTAATCTGCATTGATTTTTAGCTGTTTCATGACTGTTCCACTGATATAGAATCACTCATTGTATTTTGATAAAACTTGGTCCATAGACGTTCTGAACTAATGCTAGGTTTTGAATTAGTTTTTAGTAAAAATCTGTGCATATCAAGTACCTAATTTGCATAATGATTGGTCAATTTTTGGCTTTTTTCACTGATATCTCAAGTAATTATTTTGAAACTCGGTACATATATGTCATAGGACACTACACAGACCTGACCTGCTATTTCAAGTAGTACGCATTACATTTCAATGAAACATGGTACAAGATACTCAAGGACTATGTAGAGATTGAATGTTTTGGGATAAATATTTGTGCATATTAATCACCTAATTTGCATAATTAGTTAATTTTAAGCTTTTCCACTAATACCTTGAGTACTAATCATCACATTTCAATGAATCTAGGACTATGCAGGAACCCCATTAATTTTGGTAAATATCTATACATATTAATCACCTAATTTGCATAATTTTCAACTCCCACACTGACATCTCAAGTACTAATCATCACATTTCAATGAAATTTTGTACTTGGATGCTGTAGAACAATAGACAGATCTGATTAGTTTTTGGTTAAAATCTGTACATATTAATTACCTAAATTGCACAATTAACCAATTTCAAGCTTTCCCACTGATATCTAAAGTGCTACTTATTCCATTTCCATGAAACTTGGTACAAAGATGCTCTAGAACAATGTGCAAACCTGATTAGTTTTGGGTTAAAATCTGTTCATATTAATTCCCTAATTAGCGTAATAATTCATAATTTTTTGGTTCGAATCACATTTCACTAAAACTTGGTACATAGATGGTCTGTTACATTACGCGGGACTCGACCCACTGCCTTTTCAAGCTAATTTTGTTTTATCTTGATTAGTTGAACGGGAAAGCCAAAACGATTGCTTCGGTTCTGGTGAGAGTTTGCTCACAGTCATTGTGGTTTGCTTATTGTTTACCGTAGCGAACACGCCAGCACCATAAGCGTGCGTACATATATTACTGGTCATCATTGTGGCATCGTAGTTCAACAATACGAGGATGGCAAATATATATGATACGTAACAGGTTACGTATGACCTCTGTTATTAGTTCTGTTGTTACAGAGTGCCTGTGCAGCTCAGATCAATATTTTATGGAAGCAGGCCTGACTGGACTGCTATACACATTGACGCTTTTGTCGATTAGTGTTAGCTTGTAAATAAACTACAAGGGTTTCTGCAAACATAGTCTATGCAAGTTTTTAGTAACACCTCCAATAAACATCTGTCCGGGGATCTAAATTGACTCTATTTTTTGCGACAATCATAGGTTAGATCATGGAACAACTGGACAACAAAAATAAAATCGTGTTCAGGTTTTTAGTCCCCGTTCAGAAGAAGTTCGAAAACAGGGACTATTAATTTGGGTTTATTTTGCCCGTTCGTACGTCCGGAGCTATATCTGAGACACCCAATGACGGATTTTTATTCAAACTTTACATGAATCCAATACATAATGTCTTACATATGACTTGGCCGATTTGGATCATGGATTTGATCATGATGATCATACATATTGGGTTGTAGGTGCACGTCATTTTTGTTTTTCATGGTATCTATGCTACTTTCTCTTGAATGCAATGAACGTTTCTCTTTAAATTTTGTACAAAGATAGTATACCAAGGGATACATCTGCACCAACATTATTTTTGTGATTCAATTCAATATGGCTGGCTGACGCCCAATTTTTATGTAAAAGCACTATAAATCGTCATTTTTACCTGTCCGGAGCTGTTTCTCAGAGATGACTAGGCCGATTTGGATCAAAGTTGGTATGCTGATCATACATATTGGG